ATGTAAAATTACAATTTTTTGCAGGGCGTGCCTATTTAAAACAAAGTGCCGTGCGATCTGTTTCGCACTCTAAAGTACCACCAGACTATTGTATATAGATAATTATACTGTAAAGTAATAGAGTATGCAAAAAATTATACTGTAAAGTAATAACGTTCGCAAAAAATTATACTGTCAAGTATTAAATACTTAATAAAATTTTATTATAGCGGTTCTATTTTATATAAAAAATATTTTTGTTAAATTAATGATAGTACCGTTAAGAGAATGCCCGTCAATTGGCTTTTGATTATATTTTGTACCACTAATAAATCAAATAGATTAAGTCCAGTACAAAATATAATGAACAGCCCAATGACATATTAAAATTTTTATTGCATAATGTATATGATTACATATCGATTTTTATCATTTAAATAAAATATTAGTGCCATTCACATTACTTTTTAAAAAACATCCATGGATTCTTCATTTTCAAGTGATTCAAGTTTTATAACAGATGGATCTCAAATTATTTCATATAACTTGAAATCAGATTCATCCAATCTTTCGACAACCCTTTATAACAATTTTATAGATTTAGCAACTGATTCAACTGAAAATATAAATTCAACAATTACCTCCTCAGAAACTACAAATTTATCGAATATTTTAGCTAATGCTACAAGCTCAACAATTACTTCAAATGAAAATTTTTCTAACAATAAAGTTCAGAAATAAATAGTATTAGTATTATTTTCTTTATAATTATTTATTTAACTTTATATAAGATTAAATTAACTATTAATTAATTACAAATATATATTATTAGTAAATTATAACTTATATAATATCAAATAAATTTATAAATAAATAAATATTAAAAATATATTTTTTATTTAATTATATTATTTATATATTTTAGATCAAAGCCAAGATAATGAATTTAATAATATCTTTAAGATTTTATATAATTATTTTACAAAAAATTGTATGTTAACAAAGTTAGATATTTATTAATTTTAATTAAATATTCTTTAACTTTTATATAGAGTATAGTAACTATTTATAATATTACAGAATAGAACAATTTTAATTTAGCATTTATAAGATTACAGAATAGAACAATTTTAATTTAGCATTTATAAGATTACCGAATAAACCAATTTTAATTTAGTATT